TCATGTTTTATTATTCTATAACTATTCAGCTTTAATAAAAGACCAACTATGAGGAAATTAAGCTTAATGCTGATTCTCAGTGACCAAAAAACTAACTAAAGTCAAAGTCGTCAATCCGCCATCTTTGGACGCCATTTTGGGGCAGTGCGTTCACTTTTTTTTGTGGGAACATTGGCTTTTTTTTAATAAATTGTTACAAGGAACACAACGATATGCAATTTATAGGGATGTGGGGGGGGTGCACGGTAAGGGGGTCTGGCCCACCGTGTAAGGGTTGTGGAATGTCATTGACAGATGGAACGGGGTTGTGTGAACTCTAAGGGACAGGTCAGGTAGAAAGTTCTCAGAAATAAGATATGTGAATTGTCCCACATAAATACGTGAGCTAAAAGAGAAAAATAATAAATTATTAAATAAGAATATCCCTTCATACGGAGTAACCTCTTTTTACTCTAAATAAAGTAGCATTTCATACTAAATCCACTACAAAATTCATATAGTTTGAGGTTCACATAAAAGCTATTAGATTGTATTCGAGGATCTGAATTATAATCAGTGCCTTTTCGAGGAATGTTATTATTACACTTCCTACGATATCACGGGAGATAATATTTAAAAATATGATTTAAAAATAAATGATTGCAACAAAAATTTCCTTTCTCAAATAATCCTGCTAGGGATCCCAAATCAAAATCAAAATTCGTGTATTTATATTTCTGTCTTTTTTGACATTGTACTGTTTTAATTTAACCAAGAAAAATCAGATAAAATAATATTTTAAAAAATAAATTGAATAATCTTTTTATTGCATTAAGACATTATGGCCCAAATATATAAGACATTTTCAGGTCTAAATAAATAATTAATCTGAGAGATACAAGTAAAATGATTGGTAAAAATAAAACAAAAAAATTAAAATAAATGTATAAGAATAAGGAATAAATAAATAATTAATCTGAGAGATACAAGTAAAATGATTGGTAAAAATAAAACAAAAAAATTAAAATAAATGTATAAGAATAAGGCATAAAGTATGAGTATAAACAATGTCAAAAATTTAATAACAGTAAATGATAAACGTGAATTTATAAAGCCGGTATGTAATAAAACTCAATATTTTGCTATTTAAATTTAAACTGAGTTTATCATCTGGAAAAATGTGCACCACAATAGTAACATTTATTACCAGAGTCGGAATGAATTCGATTAGTGGTATTTTTATTATTTAACAGATTGCAATCTGTAAAACAATATTTTTTTTACTAACGTTGCGACCTAAATTTTAGGCAAAAATAAGGTATGTTTTTATAATGAGAAAGAAAAAGAAAATTTATAAAAAATGATATGTTATCTATTAATAAATGAATACGAACAACTAACCCCTTACCAACTTCTACTAGTCTGAAAAAAATTGACATATCTGAAAAAGCTTTTGAAACCAGTTAAAAATAATTCATAACATTTATGTTAAAAATAGGAGTTTTCCAGTCGGTTCATACTACCATGAAAAAATGGTGGCTGATTTAAAAAAAAAATTAGGTAGTAACTTGAGTACGTTTTTATGTGTTTAACATGTATATATGGGCATAAACATGTAAAGAATAATATTTCTAACGCGGTCCACCAAAGGAAAACTTCTTTCAACCAAATAGAAAGAAAAACTAATTTTTCGATAATTCTTTTTTTCAACTCCTAAAAGGTGTATCGAAGCAAAAAATATACTCATTTAGAAATTAAAGAACGTTAAATTATGCGTCGGACGAGTACCTAAACTTGATAATTCGGTTAAATGTTTATGGTCTATAACTACGGTCAACGAAAGCTGATTTTTACTAAATCTAAATTTTTGCAAGGACTTTCTTATCGGGCCACCATTTTGATTCTTACAACATTCATACTCTACCCTTTGGTTTTTCCACATTCCATGGTTTTTCCCGATAATAACTCAAGAAACACAAGTAGCAACGAACCAAAGGTCGATCACCTTTTAAACGTGATATTTAAAGGTTTACTTAAGGTTACTTTCGAGTTACTTGAGAGGTGGAATTCTTAGGTTTTCGATAGTTTGATTATTTCTATATCGGCAAACCGCTGATGATATTGTGTGTTGTCGATGATTATATTCGGAGTAAATTCTACCGTCTTATGAACTGTCTGGCGTTTTCCAAGAAAAGGGAGGGTTGTATTTAGATTAATTAATTAAGCTTGAATTGAATATTCTCCAGCAGAACTATTTTATTAATATTGAGAAGTTGTTTCACAAAACGAAATATCTTCCAAATTGAAATGTGTTATTTTTTCTTTAATGAAAGTGTTATTGAATTAATAAAGGCTATTATGGAAAATTTATTATATACATTACGTCCATATCTGCTTCATAAGAAATTGTGGCAGCAAAAACATTTCGTTTTCAAGACTTTTTTATCTCGCATCTTTAAGAAATTAAAAGTTAAATTATGGGTAAATATTTTTTTTTAATTTATTTAAAATCACAACATTCTCTCACTTTAACATTGGTTATAGTGAGGTAAGATTACATATACACTATATGTACAAAAAATATAAAATAAATAAATAACAAATTAAAAGTACGTTTATACTATAAATAAAATAAAATGACTTAAAAATCAGGAAATTAAAAAAAGCAAAAACAGATACATATCTATTTACAATCAGCCGAGGCAGGCATGTCCCTTCAACTATGAAGAGAAAAGGAGAACTTTTGGGTTAATTAGAACTAAAATTTAATATTTTGTATAGGCGATATCAGGGATGCCCAAAAAGGGATAAAAAAATGTTTGATGGGAGCACATTTTGACAGAGTTTTGAGTTTTTGAAGGAGGCACATTTCGAGTTATGAATGAAAAGTTTCAAACCAAGAGATAAGGAGAAAACATTGAACAAATTGCAGCAAGTGTAATTGTATATGATACACGATTTTTTAAATTCTGGTTTTGCTTGCACTTTTTTTAAGAAGATGAGAGCAACAAAAATACTTGGAGGGGAGGGGGATAGGTTCACCCTCGACCAATGGTGGAAAATCTTGAACAATAATGGAACGGTATTTCTTCGAGAAAATCTCTTGCAAGAAAAGTTAAAGCAACCTTGCTTTTGCGAAAGATTTAACACATTTCCTATTTTTCAAATAAATATAAAAATTTTACCATGAATCTTTTCTTTGGAAGACCATTGGTCCGCGTTGCAGGTCCCTTTTGGCAATTACAGACCTTATAGTATTTTATTCATTATATTATTATTAATATATAATATACAGGACCTATTCGGAGAAAGAGGAAAAACCCTGAAAAAACAGGGAGAAAATGTTAATAAGTTTAAATATATATTAGTAAGAAAAATGTATTTAACAAGTTTATAATTAATGATACTTTGCCAATCTTTTAATATTTTTGTTTGCTCAAAATTGAGAAAAAAGGTGACGTACAAAATATCGGGCCGTTTGACGTGACCTCCACCCGCAACATTTCAAAATAACAAGGTTTTATTGATCAAACGGTTCAATATTGTAAGATAGTAAGGAACTTAAGTATTTCTTACAGCGTATTTTGCACCAGTAATAGACACTCAGGGTTTTGAGGTAAATAGTTTTTTTTTTTTATAATTTAAAAAATCCAGAATAAATCCTGCACAGTTTTAAACTAAGAAATTGCAAACCATAGGATGAATGGATAAAAATTTCAAACTTACCTCCTAAAGAAATTTAATAAAGAATTCATAACCTCCTTGAAAAAACATTATGATTTAAAGAAACTTAAGCTTTGTTTAATTAAAAAATCAACTGCCAATCGGCTATTGAGGTTCAGGAATCTCTCTCCAGAAATCTAGTCAATTTGCATTCTCTTTTGGTGTATAAAGCTTATTATCTGTTAATTAATTGAATGAATTACTGATACAGTGTATATTAGTGGTACATTTACCTTAAATTAATTAATGAGATACAACCCCATTTCTGAAAATTTTCGTAGATAGTAAAGTCGTAGATTTTAATTAGATGAAATTACTAGGGGGTCCCAGGATTTAATTTTGGGGGGAGGCTTCAGCCCGAAAGCTTTTTTTTTTATCATATATATATATAAACTAGTCTAGTAGTCTAGGAGACCACATCTCGCGGTCAAACATAGTGTTGCCCAAATGCGAGACCGAGACGAGTCTTGGTCTTGCATACTCAGTCTTGGTCTTGCGTAAGAGTTTCGCAAACGGTCTTGCAGTTATCTATTAGCTTAGTACTATAGAGATATTACTGTATTTTTTTTAGATAAGGAAAACCTAAGTAAGCCCTAATTAAAAAAATAGAAGAGTTAAAAGCAAAAGTATATTGGTTATACCAATTCTTACATTAGTAACTATTGTGCCTTAGTTTTTTTTCAAAACATCGAATTTTTTTACCAGTCTTGGTCTTGGTCTAACACCGATTTTGGGGAACACTAGTCAAAGATCTTAATGGTCTGTAGCGCCAACACGAAAAAAAGAAAAAAAAAAAAAGTATATATATATCGATAATTAATTTAAAAAAAAATTAACTACCTATATGAAATGGTGCTTAAGTAGTTCTTGTTTCTTATTCAATTACACGAACAAGGATACTTTAAGTGACATTTTAGACGGGTGTTAATATACTAATTTGATAAAAAGTGGTCTATACCGCGGACTATAGATAGTGGCAGTCTTGGCTTGACTTTTGTTTATATTATTTTATTTAATAACAAATTTATTAGTAATAATATGTTTGTAATTAGTATAATGGTAAAGGGTGAACTATGACAAGCTGAGGAAGGGTCATATCAGGACATCCCCTAGTGAGGGGGTGGGGTGGGGGTGAGACAACAGGTGGAGTGGTGGGGGCACTCCTCCCGACCAACCGTCAGTCCGTAACCGCCGCTCAGTCAGGCAGTAACTGTTCAGTGCTCGCAGCTACGTCCACTTTCGTACATCATCGATAGTTCGTTGTCATGCCAAAGTGATAATATATACTCTCAAGCATCATGAACTCTTGTGCTTTGCTCACCTTTGCCATCTTACTCATCGCCCGCCCGATCTCGGCACTCGAATACTCCGAAGGGACTTACCGCGGAATAACTATTGCCATAGACCCTCAAGTGCCGAGGGATAACTGCCAAGCTGTCCTCAACAACTTAGAGGTAAGCCGAAAATTTTTTTATCAAATATATATACTTGAAAATTTTGTCGGAGCAGTTGTCGATTCGCCGATAAGAGGGATAAACTTTTGACAGACCGAGAAATAAAAAAGAAAGGGTCTATTTAAAAATGATAGCAACAATATTTAGAAATTATGCCGTTCTTCAAATTTCATATATCTCAAAAAATGCCCATTATATTGAAATAAACATATACTCGTTTTTTTTTTTGTTTTTTTTTGAAAAGGTATCAAGTAGCAATCTATAAATCTATATCAATAAGAACTTTAATGAATTTTCTTATGTGGAATTGAAAAAATTATGGACTTTTTGTAACTAAATTTGATATATAAAAGGGTTTGTGTCATTTCAGTGCACTTAAATCTGTTGTTTTTTTATATCATTAAATAAGATCAAAATTCACAAAATCGATCTTAAAAGTTCAGCTCCATTCAAAACTGCACTTTACTTTGTGCAGTATACCGACGATATTGTCTTGTCTTTTCAACTCCAAAAAATAAAAACAAAACTTAGTTACAGTAACAGAAACAATTACAAGAAAAATAAGTTATATTTATTTTTCTTCTCACTAAAACATTATCTAAATAATCGGTTCATTTTCATGAAAAAACAGAAAAAGATTTTTTATCAAAGCAATTTTTTAACTTTTCATTTTGCTTCCTCACTACCGAAGGAAGGTAAGCATTATATTTTTTAATGTATTGAAAACAGCGTCATCTACTTAAAATTACTACTTAAAATCTATAAATCCCTATCTAATAATTTTTAAGTAAAATGTTATATCATATCATCCCGTGGATTGACAAAAATTAATTTAAAAGTTTATAACTTAATTTATTATCAAAAAATAAAATTCTTTAATAATTTAGGAAAAGTCTTGAGAATATATTATATTTTTAGAATATATTATATTTTTAACTTTTCGGCGTTTTAAAAACATTTTTTATTTTTTACATGAAGAAAAGAAATTTTTGATGAAAAACCTTGCAGGAATTCTTGCACTCATTGTCATTCTGATAAGTACCCTTCGCATGTTCCGTTCCAGAGGAGCTTAGCATTCTGAGACTATCGTATTTATGTCATAAGAAATCTCCTTACTGCTAAATATGCTAATTATATACCAAGCAGGAATCGTAAACAGGACATCTCCGTCCTACGATGCTAATAGTTCATTAAAAAGCTCCTGCAGAAATTATGATTCAAAATGTATAACCCACACAGATATCGTTTGCTTGAAGTTTGCGATGGTAATATTCAATTGAAATCGCCTGAAATCATAGTCTAGAAATACAGATATGTACTAAATTCATATACAAGTTTCTTCTATATACTTAATATTTTGTATGAAAACTAGCCTAGCGAATAAAATAAACGAATAAGCTTTTTTCATTTACTCTCTGAATCAATATTTTGTATTTAAAATAATAAGAAGCTATAATTTTCGTTATAAATATTTTTTCGTAATTTTCCTAAATAATAAAATAAAATAAAATAAAAATAAATCCACCGATTTACACCACTGCAATGTGATCTAATATTTGATTACAATTCAATAAAGTGTAAATTGATATATTTTTGAAAATAATATATTTCTCAGAAATTCGTTGGATTCTTCGTATCATGTTTAAATTTTACTGGTAGATACGGAGATTCTTCTTTAATAAGAAATGTCAAAAAGAAAAAAAAATTGATTAGTTGGTGCAAATCAATAAGTTTAACAATATTAATATTGCTGTCTTAAAAGTGTTAATATTGCGTTTACCATATTTACACAGCGTTTTACGAAAGGAAAGCGTTTTTTTTTTAACTAAGCATATGGGGATCTGAACAAAAAATCCAATTGCTTTCATTCAATTAACAAAATAATAGTTAATTAATGCGTGCGTAAATATTTGATAATCTATATTTATATAATAGTAAATTTATTCGTTGTGGTAGGAGAAACAAACAGAGTTTCCGGTACTGATCAATAGTTGGTCTTTATGACAACTGATTATAATTTTATATAAATGAAGAAGAAGAATATTAAGCATAGCGAACCCGAAGGTTCGATGCCGACACTTCCAATCGAATTATATATATATATATATATATATATATATATATATATATATATATATATATACCTATATATATTATAATTTAATTTTATATCCATTAATGTACTTTGAAGAAATTTTTAATCCAGCACTATTATAAGATTTCGACGCATGGATTCTGGGGTCGGATCTACACTTTGTGCTAGAAATCCATTCCACGACACTATGAAAATTGTGACATACGACTAACGCCCTAGAAACCCGTTGGACATTTAAACAATTTAATTGAGCGTGGAACTAGACTGCATGTGAGCTTGCTAAGTATCAGTTGGGACCCGACTAATCATGGTCTCGTCTTCCCTGGGTAACTAGAGCGTTTCCGTAATTGTAGCAAGGATCTCTATGGTGTGCTGGTTTCTAGTAGCTTTGCTAAATGGTAGTGTGTAAGCAACTGTTCCTCAACGTAGTGTCAACGCAGCAATAAAAAATAATAAACTATAATATACATTTATAGTTGACTAGGTGTATTTTACAAGTAGTGACAGATTGTACACTATGACATCTGTTGAGCTAGTACGATTTACACAGCTGCTGGGCTACGTATCGACCAAACAATCACTACACGCTTGGTTGCTTTCCCCTGGTTTTCAATATTTCATATAACTTTTTTTTTTTAAATATTAATATATATATATTTTTTATAACTTTTAAAAACAAGTTATTTCAAAGTCCAGTATTTCACTGCCCTAGCCAACGAATGGTTTCAACTGACTTTTTTCACAGACGAGTAGATATCGATTAACCGGTGTCGGTTGAACGTTATCGCTTAGATACCGTGAAGTTGTTTCATGTTGTGCTCCTTCTTACTCATGCACGCAGGTAGGGGAAACCGCATCAATACTATTACCTCACTGTATCGATTATAATTCGAAGGAAATAATTTTTTTTTTTAAATCTATTTTTAGATAGTAGACGTCTAGGCGTTACTTTTTCATAGATTTCCATCATACTTTTATTACAATATTCTTTTCTGGCACGAGTTATTCAATGCAGACCTCTTTAAACCTTACTCCCACTTAAAAAAATAACCAAAGCATTGATTTCGAATAAAAACGTGAAAACCCGAAAAAGCGTTAAAAGAGGGAATTTTAATTTCAAGAAACAACTTCAAATTATAAGTCCCTCCCATATTGCTAAATAATTCTATCGTATTACTTTTTTTCATCTAATTAAATTTTTTTCGCCAATTATATACTGTATCTTAAGTAGTAAGATAATTGAAAAAACATTTTTATTAAGAATTTGCACTCTAATCAAAATACGTCTTTTTGTCACATTTTATTTTTTGGGAATTTTCCTTATTTTAATTTTTTAAAACATTTCAGACCAAAAGTTCTTAATTAGTCCGCGTGCCCACTCTTTTAAAATAAATATCAGCAAAAATGAATCGCTATTTTTCTTAATTTTAAACGACGACACATCCAAAGTCAACGTGTAAAAAAAGTATGACATAATCAAAGAAAGAATTTATTAAATGATTTTTATATATTTTTAAAATTCAAATCTACTTTATTTACCATTATTAAACCGTGATTTTATCTTTAATTTTTTTATATTATTACTGAGCTAAATGGTGTAACTAATAAATCATAAAAAGTGAAGTGAAATATCGTTAATTATTAATAATGAAGATAGACAAATATCTAAACTAAAATATTATAATTTTTCATTGATTATTTTTATTACGACATAAGTTGTCTATGTAAGTTGTTATGAAAAATATTTTTCCAACGAATATTAAAATTTAGAAAAAATGCTGACATAAAAATAATTTCTATTCGTTTAATTAAAGTTATCAATAACATAGTAGGCTATACAAGAATTCGCACTTTTTATCAAATTTGAGGAAATGTTAAAATATTCGGAAAGGTTATTGTTTTTAAAAGACAAAATTTGTTATAATTTTAAAATATAAATAACACGTTTGTTTACTAAGTTATAGTGATATCAAATAGGTTAATAGCAGAAAATATATACTATAAATTAGTTTTTAAAAATATCCAACTACACAAGCGGCAAAAAAGAAATGGTAAAAATGATGATAAAATACTAAAAATTAGAATCAATAATGTATTAATATATTTTATGTTTATTTTTATAAACAAAAAAGGAGAAATCTGAAAACCATTACTAGCCAGCCATATTATCTGACTCTTTTTCATGAGTATGATTTCGTCTCCGTTTTTCTTATTTTAAAACTTGTTTATTGACAAATATTACATTCTGTCACAATTAAGGATATTTATAATACAGTAGCACAGAAATAAGGACAAATTGGAATAGCATAGACATAAAAAAGTATACATAAATAAATCAGAAAAAAATAATAAGTACATAAATAAAATGTAATTATAAAGTAAAATAAACATCTTAAAAACAGGAAATCTATTTTCCTTTTAACTAGGAAGATTATTTGACGTGTACCACGAATAAGATATCACATACGTAGCTATATGAAAATCCCTAAAGAAGCACAAAAATACAGATCATAATAATAAAAAATACAATAATATATCTTATGGTCATTTTTACTTAAATAATCTCTTCAAATTGCAATGTCTTCTTTATGCAATAGTCATATCTCTTGATTTTTTCTACATTTCAGACTTGGAAGTATATTTGACGTATACGAGGATTAAGGTATCACAAAGCGATATTAAAATCCCTAAAGACGGACAAGAGGAATAGGGACGATACGGTTCCCATAACAGGTCGTGCAGCTCGGAGGCCACCTATTAGATCTTCGGACAGAAGGTTCTCAGGGCGTTCAAGTCTCCCCCGGGCGACCACGATACACTGGAGGCAGTTCGTTTCCTAGCCATCCTCCTCTTAAAGCACGCATCCTCTCTTATACGAAAGATTTACAGGATAATGGAAAATTAAAAAGAAAAAAAAAATAGGTCCGAAAGTTCCAAATACATTATCAAAAAACAAAAAATGAAGGCGTTGATGACCTGGGGGTTTTACGCCTATAAACAATAACAAGCAAAACAAAAATCATTTTATAATTTTGGTTTTAAAAATTATGCTATTGAATCCAGTGCGTCACTATATTTTCACTGATTAATTTTAACATTTTTTATAAAACAAAAAAATGTTTGCCAAATAGGTTGAGTATACGTTCCACTTCATTTCTATGAGGCCCTTTAAAAATCAAATCCATCGGACGAGCTGTTATTTAAATATACGAGAGAAATACTTTTGCGCATGCTTAAGCGAAAGAAGTTGGATTAATAAAATTTAAGAAGTAGAAGAAAATAGTTTTTATTCTGGGACATTGTGTCCCATTGGAATAATACAATCGCAGTTTAATTTGTCTAGCACAAAACTATAATTATAAAATAATTAAATTCTGAGATAAAATAAAGATAAATAAAAAATAAAAATAATGTGTTATAGATAAATTAAGGCCGCATGTTTTCTAATATTAATTACAAGAGATGAACAGTAAATTGTAACTCCAGTTTCGTTACAGTAAAACTTCAAAGGTTTCGGAGGCACAAGACAGTGAATACTGTCTGCCAGATGTCGTGTGAAAATTGAGTAGTATAAGCTTTTTTGGGCATTTTTTTTTTTTTTTTTTGTAGGTACCCTTGGACATTAAATACTGATCTCTCGAATCCGACTCTTACTTATACTATACTATATTAATAGTATAGTACAAACCAGGTTTTACCACTTTACTGTGATAAACTTTCAAATCTAGTTCGATAATGAAACTGATACCTTGTCACAACGAGATAATGAATGGGCTACGTCGAAATGGGTTTGATGAGAACCATGAAGAGGGTCTGTTCACAGGGAACTAATTGTCATGAATAAATAGAAAATTTAGTTTAATTTAAATAAATACAAACGAGATTCCGACGGGATCGAATAAAATTTAGATCTAATGTCAGGTCTCAAGGAAATTACTGATGAGAAAAAAGTGATCTATTATTTTTTAATTTTATTGTTTTTCATAGTATTTTAAAACATTTATTACTTTTTTATCGTGACGTGTTTACCAAATTAAACACTGTATTAATTAAACACTGTAAACACTGTAATTTTATTGTTTTTCATAGTATTTTAAAACATTTATTACTTTTTTATCGTGACGTGTTTACCAAATTAAACGCTGTATTATATTTAATTTTATTAAATAATTAAATTAAAACTATTTAATATAATAATGTTTTAAAATATAAATAATTTAAAGTTATGCAGATGTTGACGTGCCCTATTAGGGTATAGGGTTGCCAGAGACAGGTGCCCTAGGGATCTGAGACCCTCGTCCGACACAACACAATGCCCTCACGACCAGGCCCAGCTTGTTGCACTTCGCCCCGGCCCCGTGTCAACTTCAATTTTTTATACTGTCACCTTCACAATTTCGGGAAATTTAACTAATCCTTCCTATGTACGCAACACGGTTAATTATATATATGGAGTTAAGGTTAATTATATATATATTATATATATATATATATATATATATATATATATATTATATATATATATATATATATATATATATATATATATATATATATATATATATATATATATATATAGCGAGGAAGATGGAAATTGAGAAATTAAATTTTATTTACATTATATATCATTTTGCGTTGAGACAAATGGGATTAATCAACTTTAAAATTTTGGAAAAAAATTTGTCTTCTTTCGTATTTTATTATTTACATATTTACGTATTAGAAAGTTCTATAGGAATATAATCTAACCTAAACGACTTGTTTAAGTTAAAAAATCTATAAGGGATCTAAACAGGATTGTCAATACTCGGGTACATTCGGCATTCGGGTATCTTGAAATAGCGTGATCTGGGTGATCTTGAAACTGGCTGCCATCTAGGAGTAGTGTTGCCCAAAATCGGTCTTGGTCTTGCACTTTGCCAGTCGAAAATCGAAAAAAAAAATCGATTTTTTAAATAAAAATTACGGCAAAATACTTACTAATACTTGACTATTTAGGAGTAGCGAGAGGAAATACTTTCAAGCAATATATTTTAATAAAAAATATTGTGTCATTTTTGTTGTTGTTTGTTGACAGCTAAATTATTTTAAATTAAATGACTTCATTAAAAAAATTGAGACATTCAAACACACACTGAATGAATAAGGAAATAACACAGCTGAGAAAGGTTGTAGTCAAACATTCTGTGTGTCCAAGAAAACGATTAATAAAAATTTTCAATATTTTTAATTGTATCCGATCGTTAAAATATTGATTCTTCTGAGTTCGGGTTTTGTTTGATTAAAAAAAAAATGAATGAAAATAACTAGTTTTCATTTGAATAATAACTTTTAAATTACTAACATTAATAAATCCATTCACGAAATTAATACAAAGGTGCTGTATATGTTTGAAAGCCGAGTCTCATCGCGATACAACTAGATAAATAAATATTTAATTAAATTTAATTTCGAAAATTGAATGCTGTCTCCGCTACCACCGCAAGCACTGCCTTGATGAAGAAGCTTTTAAAATAAAGAAGAGAAAATTCAATTATACAACTTTGGTTTGGAACGGTTAACTTTCTTCCGGAACTAGATTCAGTTTTCAATTGGAGAAAACTTTCACGGTGGAAATTCTTTTATTAATAAATCTCATAACTCTCCCCGGATCCAATTTCATTAATGATAACCGTATAAATTAAATTTATTAGTTTGAGAATACTTTTTTATTATTAAATTTTAAAACTTTTTTAATGACTAAAATAAAAAACTGTTGATTGATTTTAATGTAAATATTAATTAATCTACATATTTTTAATGGACAGTATGTTTGTAATATGATATAAATTTCATAAAAAAAAAAAAATAATAATGAAGTTCTTATCATTATCGACTTCAAATTATTACACCTTTACTGGATTTTTATACCAGAATAAAGGATTTCCTTTTTATAAGAAGACCTTATATGATTGACTTTTTGATAGCTTGTCACATAATTATCAAAGGAGGAATAAAAAAAAAAAAAATTATAATTAAAATGTGAGAACTAATAGACAATGGAGCATTATCTACTTTATTCCAGATTTTAACAGACAACCCTATTGTGAATATTTTAATAAAATTTAATCGCTCACTGTTTTTATTATTATTGTTTTTAAATTTATAATAAATTTTTATTTTCATTTTCACTTTATTTTTTAAATATTATAATTCACTCTCATAATAATCTAATGGAGTAGTTTTGAAATATATTAATGTTTAAAATCTTCGTTTTTTATTCATATATCGTCAATAATTTTATAAGAAAAAATTTATAATATAGTTTGCTCCTGAAGGAAAAAAAATAATTCGTTAAAAAAATATATTTTTTTAAAAATTTAGTTAAGCGACTTAAATTCCTCTTGGTATTCCATTAACGTTTGGAGCGGGAAGCGAATGTATGCTTACATTGTGGATGGACTCTACGCGCCAATTTGAATATTTAATAGGGCCTAATAACCTGTTTCACGATTCAGCTATATAGCAAGGCCGCTTATATTATTATAAATATTATAACTTGCTAAATTTATTGTTTATTATATATTTTTACTTGTCAATAGCAATATTTTTATATTATTTCACCAAAAAGGTAACGTATAAATAATAGAAAATTTAGAAAGAGGTTGTTTCTATGTAGACTGACAGTTGCTTTAACTGAAATAAATAGAAGCATGCTGGTTAGCTGTTATATACGGGCAGAAGCGGGTCTCTTATCACTCGCCAGTAGTCATGCATGTTATTATTACTGATAAGAATTCAAGGAATGACACATTTAAAGCTGGTATAGCACACCTTCTAAAAGTTTATGCTTGCGATAAATCCTTTAAATGATATCAAAGTAGACTGTAAATGATATCACTCTACTTTATAGAACTATCAAAGTCAGAAATTCAATAGGACATGAATGATTTTAACTAAGAAATGGGCGATAATTCAAAGAATAGCCTACTAAAATTATTATTATTAAGGTTTTTATTAATATTTCCAAACGTACATGTTTTTAGTTTCTGGAAACAGTTCAAAATAACCTAAGTATAATTTTACTATATTTCTGTTCACAATAGGTTAAAATGTTGGGATTGGTATAAAAAAAAAAAAAATAATAAACCATGTACATATAAACAATATTAAAATAATAAACACAGTATTTTTATAATTTAAAAATTAAGTACATATAATATTATACTAGGGTGGAGGACGGAGGATGGAATTATTTTCTATCGAAATTTCATAATAAACTAAAAGATGCGAATCAAAGAAAGAAAAATTAATGAAATAAAATTAATGTTTACGATTAATTCCAAATTGATCAGCTTTATATTTGTATTTACCTAGGTATTTATTTGAATTTCTGTTTTCCTTATAATTATTAATATTATTCTTAATTTATGGGGATTATTTAAGGGAGTAAGTCCAGATGATTTATTTATTCCTAAAACGTTATCAAACAGTTTAGGGTGTGGTGATATTAAAAAAAAAATATGTGTATGCATTCTATATATGCATTCTAGGCATGAATTTCTGATTTTTGTTTAATTATTAAGATAATGGCTGAATAGAAGTTTATTATCGAGCGTTAAGTATTTTACGGACTTGGCAATAGTAATCGAGATATCCTTTGAGTTTATGACCGTTGGGAATACAAGCCGTTTTGTAAATGTATTTTATTAGATATATTCATAAATACTTATTTTAATCTGTTTAAAAAAATGTTTATTATTTTTATTTAATATAGCAAGAATAAGAACGCTTTTATCGTGAGCAAATAATGAGCTGTATTACTACAATATTAAGTTTATTTAATTTTATTATTTTTGGA